AAAAGAAAGAAAGAAAACAAAACACATTTTGCAAAAATAAAAAATGCAGGTAAGGAGAAAGGATTGAAAGGATGCGAGGCAGTTTTCAAAGGGAAAAATATAAGCAAGAAATAACGCGATGAAAAATTTCTAAGCATCTATGGGATACTTCTGCCAGATTGCAACCACAAGGAGATACTGGGTTAAAAACCAAAACAAAGATAATCTTTAAACACACACACAAGAATGCACACAAGCACAGACTAAGCAGAATCAAGAATCAATTACAGTAAAATATTTTCTTTCTCCTCAATTTTTTAAAAAGATGAGAGTCTTTTACTTTTTCTTCTTGTAACAGAACATTGCAAAAAGTTTCATAATTGTAATTTCATACCTGGTAATATTTCAACTGCCCACCCAGCTCTGCCAGATGTTTATCATACTCAGTAACAAGAAGTGCTAAAAAGCTAAAGAAAAAGCATAGAGTTAAAAACTAAAGCACATTTGGCCCCATCTAGTTTATAAATACATCACAAATTATGCAAATTTGTGATAACAAATTATCAAAATGTTTATCCTAAGAATCAGCACCTTGCCTTTTCTCTAAATCAAGACTTTTTAAATCTTAGTATAACTACTGTTCTTGGCTAAAGAACTATTTGTTTTGTGTAGGCAGGTGGAGTACGTAGTCTCATCTGAGCATGGTACCACACTTCCTCACATTTCTGGCCTCTATTAGATGCCAGTAGCAGCCTTACCCTCTGTGGGTTTTGCTTGTTTTAACAAATAAAAATGCTTCCAAACATTGCCAAATTACCTCCTAATGGTACAAGTGCAAAATATCCCTCCACTGTGAGCCAGTTGGGCAGACGCTATTATACTTGCTTTTTCTTAACAATTCAGTAAGTTAGTTAGGTTTAGCTATCACAGGCCAAAAGGAAACATTCCTACTACTAATGGAATTCTTTTTATGACAATTAATTAATTTCTTTTTGAAGGGTCTACAGGATGTTCAGGGTCTCACTACAAGATCTGTCTCGTGATCTGCCTGTTTACAGCCTCCCAAGAGCTGGGATTACAGGTATACCACCATGCCCAGTCTCAACTGCAGTCTCAGAACAACCCGGGGGTGGGGCCAGCACTGCAGGTTCATGATCAAATGACAATTAATATTATTAAGAAAATATTTTTCTAATAACACTTTACCTTTCATCAGCTGTCGAGTTTACTAATGTGTCATCTCCATCTCCTCTGAGGATATTTTTCTGTAACAGAAAACATACATTTTAAAATATTTTCTTTTACCATTTTAGTCAAAATTGACAGTGGTTTAAAATTAAATATAATTAATTTTTTATAACCTTATAAAATTAATTGATATAATTCCAAAAGAGTAAAAGAAATAAATCAGGCTACTGATACTGAAATGCATTTGGTAACTATGACACATACATGAAAAAAACCTCTTAGAAAATTAAAAATATGAAAATTTTTTGACTTGACAAACATACCAGAAAGAAACCTACTTTAATTAGCATCCTCCATGGTAAAATGCAGAAGCACTGCATTAAATTCAGTAATAATACAAGGCTGCTCATAATCACCATTAAAATTCAACATCATACTAAAAGTTGAGCCAATATGAACACAATATGGGGAGATTTAGAGATTTAAAAGCAAGACACAATGTTATTATTTACAGAGCATTTGACCAT